AAAGTAAATGCTTCATAAGCATCTCTTAATCTATTTTCACAAGAACCACTAGATGACAAAATGTGTTCCCAGTTGTACTTTTTTAGATTAAAAAAAAATAGACCAACATTAAAAACTACTGATTTTTAATTTGTGACTGGATACCTTGGACCTAATTTTTAGACTGCATCGCATCATACACTCAGATGTTCAAAATGACTCCCAAGTGAGTTCAGATGCATTTGGGCTCAGCATCTCTAAAACTTAGATAATGAAACATGGAAACACGATTCTGGTTTTCCCTCAAATCATAATACTGCATTTATGCCTATGGACAGTTTGGTTTAATTTATTTGCTCATCATCATATAAGAGCTGTCTGGCAGAGATAATATCATCCCAGTTGGCATTTGGCTACATACCTTTCTTTATTCCTTTCTTCTTGACTGCATAATTTCTAACACCTACAATGAAGAAGGACAAATGGAAACTACATGAAATAAGGCTGTAATTAGCCCAAGACCGTGGACACCTCGAGAAAGGAGGCAGGGGTTGTTTGCTTCTGAGGAACAAATCCTGCTTGAGGTAGCTCTTAAAATTGCAGGAAGTTAGTCTTAATTACCAGAGAGCTGGCTCCTGTCATGTGGTGCCATCAGCACAGTTGCTCCAGGGTTTAACCACTCTAATGGTGAAGAATATTTCCCTGTGTGTCCCTGTTAAACAAGTGGCATTTCAATTTATGAGCCCCGACTTTCATTTTTAATCCTGTGTCTAGTCCTACTTTATAACTGCATGCCACTTTTCATTTCTTGTCCTGCTTCCAATCTCCTGCTCTTTTTTCACCTTCTCCAGCCTTCTGTTTTAGCAGGTTGTTGCTTTACATGTGGGCAGTTTCTCCCTCCCTTCTTGGTAGTTCAGCTGTCAGACTGAAGAGGGAAGTTGTTGGGGCTATTAAGGCAGTGCTGTGAGCCCCATCTGTAGTAAGAGATGATTGTAAAAGTTGTCATGCTTTTCTTTTAAAGATCTGTTGATAAGGATTTTGACTGAAGTGTTTTTAGGGAACAATAGCAGTATCTGCATGGTTTATTGAAACTCATCTGACTTGTGATCGTGCAGTTGAGGAGGTACATGCAGCATTTCATTTCCTTGTAGGATCCATTAGAAACTTCTTTGTGATGGGATTGATTCACTATTTGCATCATAGGTATGCTATTGACGTTCTGATCTTTTGAACACTGATTTGTGCTTGGCATAAAACATGGTGGCAATATGCCTGCCTTAGCACATAATGAATGAAGTACAGAGAGTTGGTGGTCAGTATTATTAAAGTGGAGGTGGCACTTTTTGCTCACTGATGTTGGATGTGGCTTAGGAGACCTACACCTGAAATTAGACCTTGATCAGTTGGTTACTGCACGTTTGCACATTCATGCCTGTGTTCTGCAGTGCCTCAGAAGTAAGCATCCTGGAGTTCTCCATCATTTTGAAACCTCTCTTAAAAGTATAAAATGTTATTTCTATTGCAGGGTGTGAAGCTGTGCAATCAATTTTGAGGTAGCTGAAAAGAAATAGTACAGAACAAAACACATTACTTATTTTAGGCTGTGAAGTTCACTGAGAATAGAGAAGTGGCCTGAATTAAAAAAAAATAAATAAATAAAAATAAAGGGGGGAGTTTAAAGATCAATATAAATACTCATTTAAAAAATGCTCACTTGAATTCAGGCTGGTGCAGTATGCAGCATAGTGAGACTGTCAGGATAGGACCACTGGAAATCTTTCTGTGTAAGGAATTTGCAGAGCCAGTCAGCCAGAGATCAAGCCCCTGCTTGGCTGAAGCACCTTTGGCGTTTAACAAAACCTGAGAACTTGCAATCATTTTCACTGACTGCAATGCTCTGCTTTTCCTCTTCTCCTCTGTCTGATCATATTTGATTCTTGCCTTCATTACCTTCTTCTGCTTTTTTCCTTCTATACTTGCAGGGGTCACAAGAATCTGGGGATGTACAACACTACGTTTTTGTTTTTTTTTTTTTTCCTCCCTTTCTGTTTTATTTTCATGTTCTGGATCTGAATGGGTTGGGGAAGAAATTGACCTCTGCTTCTCATCTCTTTGTCCTTTGAGGCATTTCTCCTCAACCTTCTTCCTTTATCTTTTACGTATCTTGAGAGTATGGAGGGCTGGCAAGTAGTGCAGATCATTTGTCCTATCTGTTACCCTCATCTGAAGAGGAGTATACGTTTGGTAACTGTTTAGGGTAGTGATGAGATAGGTCAGCTCTTTGGGGGTGAGGTATTAACATGAATGCATCTCAGGATGCAGATGTGTCTTCTGGATAACAAATGACATTTCTTTCCAGATAGTAGAATGTTTTTGTAAGTAAATGTACCAAACAAGCGTCATTTGAAATAAGATTCTAATTCAAAACCTTGAAGCGCTCTTTTTCTTGAGTGTAAAGTACGTAAAGTTTCATTTTCAGTGTACCTTCTTGATCATTGCCTAGCTTTGCCATCCCTGATTGCGAAGTAGCATAAAAGCCACAGACCTCTTCCATGTGACCAAGGCTGCTGTGTTCATGTGGAGTGGGCAGCACAACTTGCAAGCCTGACTCAAGGGGCTTATTTCCATTCTGCTCCCAGATCTAAGTGGTCTGGTTCCCAGTAGCAGGGACTTCAGAAGACTTAGCAGTTATCTTTTAGAATATATAAAGCATTCTACACATGGCTTTTATTGCTGCTGTTAACTGTGTGGAAGGCTTGCTAAGACTTATGTACACAGAGCCACATGTACAAAGTTAGTCTCTGATCCTGTGTTTGTGTAGTGTGACAGAGTGAGGTTCTTGTGTTCATCAGTGTGTTAATTATGTTCTGCTTAATGTCAGAGTAGTGTAGCTAATTTAGAAAACAGATGTAATGTATGGCTGCTTTTTTATAGTTACTTTTAATATGAAATCTTTCTGGAGCATGGTGGATCTTAAATTAACTCAGCTTTATCCTTATCATGATGGGGCTTCCTATATACTAAGGCTGTCCCCCCAACCCCCACTTTTTTGAGTCTGATTATAGTTGAAACCTTACAGCCCACATCTAGGAAAGTATTGCTTTGACAGCTATATGTCATCAGCACAGACAAATCCAAACAGCTTTGGGGCTGAAGCAGCTGATTTGAAATGATAAACCACCGCAACTGATTAATGTTAGACATAATCTCTTCATGCCTGTTTCCCATTGCTTCCTTCTACTTTTGTCCGTCATCCCAGGGTGTATATGTCTTATGGTGTTGCAGAAGGACACTTAAAGTCTTATTCTTTCCTTATTTTACATAGTTATGCGTAGATTGCGTGGAACATGAAACAGGGAAAAATGAAATAGGATGAAAAAGGAGAGTTATCTCAGAACAGCGTCGGTGGTGCTGTGTGCACAGCCTTGATCCCAGCTGGGATGCAGCCCGCAGCACCGACTGGGACAGCTGCACTGTTCCCAGCCTCCGAAAGCTCGTGTGGAGCCATGTGGGGTATTGCTGTGCTGGGGCACAGTTAATCCCCAATCTTCCAGTGACAACGAGGATTTGTGCGCTCAATTAAAAGTTTGAATTTATATTTCTTCTTGGTGTAGAATTTGCTTTTTTTTTTTTTTTTTCTCAACATAAGAGAAATACAGACTCCTCTGTTTCATGAATGCCCCTTATTGGGAGTTTGTTATTCCCTCACAAAGGACTGCAGTGATAGCATAATGTAGAAGTGTTATCTTTCTGCCTCAGAAGTGACACTTAATATATTAGTTTTTGTTTATGGGCCTGCCACCTCCAACAACTTTATTTGCACTTAAAGTGCTCCTCTCCTCCTCTCCAAATAACCAACACCAACAAACTCCACTGCTACTACGAAAACAAACTAACAAAAAAGCAACAAAAAACCTCCACAGTTAAATGCATTTGATTTTGATCTGAATTTAGGCTGACCTCACATAATGCTGCTTTGGAAGTAGGTGGATGCTAAAGCTGTAAAATACCTATAAACGCTTCAACAGAAGCATGCATCCTGTTTGAGGAGATACTTAGGTTTCCCGTGGAGATAAGGCATAAGCTATTTTTTTGCTGCCTGTCTTCCTCCCCTTTTCTGTGTTCCCTATAACTTTCTAGTTGAATGTAGCAAAAAAAAAAAAAATAGGGGTCTCAAGGCAACAGTGTTTTTATGTATGTAATGAAAAGTGGTAGAGCAAGGATAGAAGGGAATCCTGTTAGGAGCAGGCTACGTAGATTTCAATTATTGTTGGACACAAGGGAATCCCAGGGTGAGAGATGTAATGAATGCCCACTTGTGGGAAAGGCTTTAGTTTGAGCCTGTATCTCCTGGGCCAAGTGCCAGTCAGAAGACATGTATGTAGGAAATCAGGCCTCCTTAATGTTAGCATTTGCAAAGATGCTTGCTTTCAAATTACCCAAACTATGTATCTTAACATAGCAGATTTTTTTTTCCCCCCAGATCTGTGGGAAGTGTATATGTACTTCCATTACTAAAAGCATCAGAGTAGGATTGTTGTGGTGATTTTTTTGTTCTGTTTTAAATACAGTAATCAATGAAAGTCTTACTGTAGTGTAATAGATGCTATTTGGGTTTTCTAGGCAAATTCAGACTTCAGGTATTAAATAAGCTTGTAGGCATTTAGCTTGATCTATATATATAAGTTAATTTGGATTCAGATAGGACTTCTGATAACTGTAGTACTTCATAATATGGACTCTAGTTTGACAGTATGTTATGCCTGTTTAACTCCACTTTTAGCTTTTCTGGGAATACTCCATGTGTTCATAGGTTTGGAGTTACTTAACGTTGTCTCTTAAGTAATGGAAATACATTATGTCAGAAAAATGGAAATTAGGCAGGTGATACTAAGTCCTCTAGTGGCATCCTGCAAGGGACACCTTTGGGGTACTATTGGAATTCATTAACATGAGTGGCAGAGTAGCTAGTGCATAATTAAGTGTTCTGTATGCTGATGTGTTATTTTTTTTCCATCTAGGACTCAACTGTTGTGACTCCAATAATACTCAGAACAGATCCACAGGGATTTTTCTTCTACTGGACAGATCAAAACAAGGTAAGAGGGAAAGATCCCTATTCCAGAATGGTTGTTTCTGCTACGAGTGGTACGATGGGCAGGAATTAGGAGGTTTTGCATGCCTGTTCTGACATAGGCTGATGCAATGCTCGTCTACTATGTTCCTTTGGTCTTCTGGGGAGAAAATATAAACAGGCCTGTGGCTCATCTAGTGCGTAAAACATGGAGAGAAAAGTGAAATTCTGGAGTTCTGCTGTACAGATCTTATGCAGCCATGTTAATGGTCTGGCCCATGAGATGTAAAATTTTTTTAGTTTACAGGCAAGGATCAATTTAGCATGCTGTTTTGTTTCATAGTTGTGGTTTCTCTGTTTTGCTTTCCATACGCTGAGGATGTTGGCTGTGGTGCATAACAGGTCTTGGAATACCCAAAGGCCAGAGCTCCCTTTGAATTCTTCCTCGTGCTGCACTGTTCTGTGGCTGTGCCTGCTAAGACACGTCACTAAATTCTTACTAATCCTCACTGGACATTTACTTTCTTTTAAAAACATTCCAGCTTGCTTAGATCACTATTATGGCTGGGGAGCTGTTGGGAAGATCATGGCTTGATTCATCTCTGCTTTACACCACTTTCACATCTTGTCACCCCTTGAAATCAGCACTCTTGTGCTTCTAGCTGTTGGAGACTATGGAGCAGCAGCAGGGTTAAAGCATAGGTACCCCCAGTAACGGGGTGAAATTTGTTTCATAAAGATTATGAAACATGTAATGTCAAATTATTGTTGCAACTGTTAGAGCAAAATGCTGTATTACAACTTGAAACAAAGTAAGTGTTCTACAGATGAATTTTCAAGTACTTATGAAGTGGTTGTACCTGCTGAATACCTGGTGATGTTGGAGCATTGGCCTTGTTTTGAAGTATATGCCAAGGTGACTAAATACGTAGCTGTGCTATTCTTCCTATATTTTTTCATTTTTGTTCATTTGTGTAGCTGTTTTTCACAAGTTCATGCTGTTTTTATGTTTAGATACCAATGCCGAAATTATTTCAGGAGGTAGCAACCATTGAATGTGCAGAATGTACAGTCAATTTACTGTTGCATTAGGTCATTTGTCTTCCTGTGTTTGCTTTTTAGAGGAGATGGAGCACAGTTTTGAGTCAGTGTATTTGGAAGTCGTATTGTGGAGCCGCAGTAAAAACCTTGCCTCACTTTGTGCTTCTGCAAGGTGGTGCTGGTTAATAGCATGTTCATGCATTGACAGTCCAGTGTTGTTATATCCTTGTCCAAAGATGGAAAGTTAATTCCCAAAGAAGTTGAAGGATATGTCTGATTTATACCAACCCAGAAGCTATATCAAAACACAGCACAGTCTACTGATTTGTCCCTTTCCTTGCATAAACTAATTTTTTTAAGTTGAAAAATAATGGCACACTTCATAATAATAAATGGAAAACCAGAGTTGATTGGAGAGTTTATTTAACTTTTAATATATTTGGCACTGAGACCTACTTCAGTTTCCTACTGTTGTCTGTAAAAACAATGTCTTAAAGCAGTTCTGTGAAGAACAGCTATTTATAGAATTGTTGTTCTCATATTCATGAAAAAATGTATTTATAATGCCCCAAGCATTTTTTAAAAGCTTGGGTATTTGTACAAGAGACGTTAAGTGTCAGTTTGATTTTTAAACTTGCAAATCAAGCCTCTGTGAAGGGCGACAAAAGGGATTTTTCTGGTTAATAATTCATGACAAGTAGGTAAAGCTCATTTCTACGCCCCATTATAACAGCATCTAGTTGAAGAGAGTAAATGTTTCTAGTGGGGTGCTGATGCTGCAAGGACTGGGAAGGAAATGCTGTCTTCTGCTGTTGCAGAGAATGGTTGGATTTACTGTGGAATTACAAATATATTTTAAAAAAAGAGATTATAGGAAATTCTCTTCATTTCCTTCTTTGTGTGAGTGGTGATCCTGTGATGACAGAGGAACCACTTGAAGAAATAGTATCAGAAGAATAGAGCCTCTATGTGATTGCTTTCTCTCTTTTTTTTTTTTTTTTACCTAGTTATTATTTTTGAAGCAACTGTCTTTTGTCATAAACGGGTCTGTTGCTTTCTGAATATGGATGGATTGATCTTGCATCAGCAGAGTGATAAACTGTGAGAAGTGTGCTTGTGAGCATAGGCCGTCTGACAAATTTTCTTGGGCAATCTTTGCATACAGATGGGGAGATGAGCCATGAGTGGCAGCTGTCTTTCCAGCCATTTTGTTGTCCTGTTTAACAGACACTCAACTTGTAAACTACCAACTGAACAATGATGTGGCTTTTAAGTTGGAGGTCTAGCTCATTGGTTCCTTTTGCTTTGTCAGCAAAGTTCTCTTAAAACAAACCATCAAGAAAACATCATTAAAATAGATACAAAATACATAAAAGTTATTCTACGTGTTAAATTTTTTTTAACTCAGGGCACAGATGGTTGTACCTGTGCAACTTCCTAAGCTAAGCTGGGTCTTGCATGGTTTTCTTGTTTTCTCTCTGCAAAGAAAGAAAAGTAATACATGGTGTCTGGTGTAGAGCAGTATATCTGAAGAGTCCTTTAGATTGAGCTCTGACTACCCAAAGAACCAAGCTCCTGAAAAGGATATGCATTACTTTTTGTGTATAGGATGGATGTTAGAATTTCCCTTCTCGCATCTGACAGCTTCAGGCAAGGCAAACAGTAAACTGCCTAAGATTCCTTCAGTGGAAGATATGCATCCATCTGCATTGCTTCTTTCCTTCATGGCTGTCTGTGTTTTGACCATTTGAATACATTTGGACAAAGATATGTTCTGCCAGATGCCTAGGCCCAGCACTGCTACTTTTGGATGTTAACAGGTTTTATATTAAAAAGTGGCTGGTGCTATTTCTTTGTTTAAGTGACATCATCAGCAGAGTAAACAGTAACCTACAATGCAAATGCGTTTTTCTAATCATATGCCATTTCTCTTTGATTTTTATATGCTTGGCTCACCTTCACTGCCTATCCTCGTATGGTCTCAGCTGCAATGAAGGTCTGCTAGGCAAGTCTGTGGAAGCTCTGATCTTGCAATTTGACAGGAGCAGTGTGGTATCCTGCAGTTTGATATGCTTACTGTGTGTTTGCATGTCTAAGTAGATTTTGCTGTCACCAGTAAAGATAATACTTCAAAATAGTGTCATACCTAGCATTTTGCTATATTTTTCCTGATAATGAGGCAATTAAAATGCTTTCATTTTAAACAGATGGTAGGACAACTTTCTGATTTCATCTGTAGCTTTCAGTATTAAGCTCTTTTTTTAATAAAGATTCTGGAATATTTGCTTCACCTATATGCAGTGTGCTAGCTGACTTTATATTAATTATTCTTTAAAAATTAATGTGACAAGCTAGTATCTCTTACATGCCTTATTGTTTCAGTAAAGTTTCTTTAAACTGTAGAAAAAACAGACAGTATTCATTGTGTTGTATTTTTATGACCTGAGTAAAACATATCTCAATTCCTTTAAAAACTTTAAAAGCAGAATGTCACTTCTTTCATTTGTTCTTATTCATGAGTGTTGAAGAAAGATAAATTGAAACTCAACCACGTGAAGAGAGAGTCTACCAGAGTAAAAAGGAGTAATAACAGAAAACATTGCTCAGGAAATGAGAAGATGCTGGAAGTGTTTGATGAGATTAGGCTGCTAGCACAGCTAGAGGAGGACAGTGATTCCTGTCTATGAGTGTATCAGTGGATGAACGGGCAGAATGGGACCAGAAATATGTATTGTTGGCCACTTTGTGTATTAGTTTTTTTGCATTCTTTAGCTGAAAGTTGTATAACGTGGTCGGATGGATGTTAGAAGCTACCTATTGACTCTGTAGCTCTGACATTGTCTTAAAAAAAAAAAGTAAACTGAGCAAAACTACTGATTGTCTTTGAGGTAGAGCCCTTCAGGTTTTTCTGAGTCAGAGGAAGATTGTGTGATGTGCCCACATCTTTATCTCACTAGCAAGTGTTGCCTTTTTTAAAAAAGTGTAAAGGTAGGTAACCTTGCAGGCATGGCAGCACACTGAAAATGTGGAGGGTGGAGGCTTAGTTGCATCCACATGAAATGAGGAGCTGCCAAACTGTGTCATGAAACCTGACATAGGTACCCACTCTTGGGGAGTTAACAATGATTTCTAATCTGAAGTTTTCTTATCTAATAGAAGAGAATAGACATCCTCATTTGTCCAACAGGATTTCTGTTGAGAAGCTGCTTTAAGTGTTGTTGTGGTGCTCGGTAGGAAGAGATGTGTGGCTGAAGTTTCCCTCCCTTGGTTGTTGCAGTTAGCAATAGCACCACCAAACCAAAATGGTTTAGCAGGAAGGGGTCCCTGCTGCAGAAGAGAAAATGCAGAGTTAATGGCTCATGCTTTTAAGTGTCTTTGGGAGGTGGGTTGATGAGTCCACTGTGGTGCTGGACACTTCTAGCTCTATCTTGCCAACACTGGTGCAGAGTATCTGAAGCCAGAGAGACTCAACCAGTGCAGCTTCTTAGTCTTCACACTAGTTGCAGTTTTCAAGGGAAAGTGCACGATCTCTTTTTTTTCCTGACAGGGATGGAGTTCGTATATGTGAACATCACTGACAAAACTGGTACCAATATGTTGTAGCACAGAATACAAGCTTGCTGCAAAAGCCTGTAGCAAAAGTACTTTACCTTGAGCCAGATCTTTCTCATTTCAAGAGATTGCACAATGTGATTTTATGTATAATGGGAGAATTTTTTTGGCCTCGAAGGTCCTTTTTTCCTCATGCATCCTTAGGTGACTGTATCTTTGGGCCTGAAAACCCAACGTGGATGGCTGAGTGAATATGTGAAGTAGAGACCTGGGGCTGTGCCTGTGAAAGTAGGATTCTGTAGACAAATACCTGGGCCTTTGCCTGCTTTTTGTGGTCATCTTGGTTGACACGTTGAGGTGTAATGTTAGGAGCTGGTGTAATGGTGTGAGGAACTGGAGACCAGGGATGTCATTGCTTGAATATGCTATGGA